TTTCATGGGCCTTGAGCCTTTGTAGGGAGCAACAGCCATGCCCCTTGGTGAAAGCGACATCTATGGAGCCAACGCCCAATGCAGTATCGAGCCCAATCATGTTCAAAGCGATGGATACTCCTGGATGTTCAATGTTCATCATGATGTGCAGCATTTTGATTTTGGCAGTGTTAACTTTCTGGGGATGGGTTTGCAAAAGAGCGCATGACGCCTACACAAGCTTCGATCATGTTTACACTCAGTATGCAATTCTGTCTTCATCTGTGACAATTCTGGAAAACAAAATTGCGCAGATGGAAACAGACCTCAGACGTCTACGTGCAGGACACACAGAACTTTCTGGTGAGATTGAGATGGTCCTGGACTCAACAGAAAATGTCCAATGGGGGTTGATAAACAAGGGAGGCTACACCAATTTCCATAACCTCACACCAATCCAACGCCAACAAATGTATACGTTGGAACGTGCAAACTTGGTAGCTGCAAGGACGATGGGAATGCAACGTTTTTTGAACGTTGTAAGGACCCAGAATCAAGGGATTGTCCATGGAGGTGACGATACTGATATGGATCAAGTTGTGAGCGAAACTGGAGAAGAAAAAAACTTGAACATGACCCAGCAATCAATCCAGAGGATACTCCAGAGCTCACACAGGTCACCATGACATTCCGTAATGAGCTGAATGACAGCTTACGCAGAGAGCAATGGAGTGATGCAGCTGTTTTCCAAAGGGGTGTGATGCAAATTTTGGATTTGGTAAACCAACATCAGCCAGTACCAATGGAATTGAAACGTGGCCTTTTCTATGCACTGGCTGCTGACCTTCACCCTCTTGTCGACCGCCATACTGAGACCGACCCCAATCTTGCAGAAAGGTACCAACAGTATGTGAACCAACTCAGAGAAATGGCCCGTCAAACAACTTAGGTCCAAAGGAAATTTTGCCGGGGAATGATGGCAACCCCCCGTTATCCAAATGCCATCTTTGCCAAAGGCAAACTTTTCATGCCGCCCGGGAATGATCCACCTCTACGAGGTCCGGGGAGTAACGCACACTCATGCCCTTTTTCTGTGAATATTCTTGTGTGCGGCAAACGGATCAAAATTAATGTGTCCATTTTGGGGCGATAGCCACTGGCTGCATCACTTTTTGACGCTGCGCTCGTCTTCGGGCTTTTAACTCCGTTGGTTTATATTTCGATGGCACATACGTTCCTATGTGATGACCCCGTGACAGATAACTTAGCGGCCAGAGCCTCGTTGCTCCTCGACGGCCTTAGGCCTGCCAGCCCAGTCCATAGGAGTCAACAAGGGAAACCTTGACGTCTTGTGCGTGGTTTTTGTTTTGTTTCTGGTGTCGTTTGTTGCCTTGGTTCTGGTTCACGGAGAGTGGTTTTCCTTGGGCCCACGGACTTGGTTCTGCAGCTCAGCCAAAGGAAAGATGTACAGAAGTTGCAAATCGCGGCGCCTCCCTTCCGGTGTCGGGGGGGACACGAGCGCGGCCTCCAAACGGAAGCCTCAAAGAGGCTTCACGTGGAGAGTCGTCGCGCCCCTGCACCTGGACTTTACAGTTTTTGGATATCTGCCAGGTGATTGTCGACCGCTATGGCAACCGACGATACTCAACCACCTAGACAACTTTTCATGCCGGGGAATGGTGGCAACTCCCCGTCAACATAATGCCACCTAGGTCCAAAGAAACCCAAAGGGATTTGCAATTGAGATTTGTGCGCAGCAGCCGTGCCAAAATAGGTGCAAATGCAAGCAGTGGCTCCACATTTGCAAGGGAGAGTCCGAAAGTTTTAGCGCACTGCTCATGTCCATGCATGGCCCGTGCGCAAGGATGACACTCATTGCAATTTCCTCTTTGGCAGTTTTCACATTGGTCATGGACAATTCATGCAAAACGCATTGAATACTGTAGGCCCTGTGGATCAAGCAAAAATCAATGGGAATCTCAGGATCCTAAAATGGAGGCACTGTACCATATAAGGCCATATTTTCTGGGGATATTCTCTTACATAGGCCTTATATAGACCTTATATATGGTAGGTACCTCCAATTTAGGTTATTGAAATTCCCATTGAAAAAGGTCCGTGCTGCCCCGTTTGGTTTCGCAGATATTAATCTGAAAACAACATCACTTGCCATTCCCAAACATTTTTTTGTAAATGCATTTTTTTAATACGTCAAAAATTTGGTTGATGACATGAAATTTGTTCGGCGTTGAATTTATTTTGATGTCAATAATGTCTGAAAAGGAGGTTGTTAATCGGTTTTGATTTTTTAAGAATATTGATCCATGAATCAATAGTGCACCACAGACACATGCCTTGCAAAACTGCCGAAATGTTGTAAATTTTAATGCTGTTGAATTTGCAAAAATGGGTTCATTTTAAAGCGATCCAACTTTGCTGCTGTGATCAATGATGCAATTTAGAAAATTGCAGGCAAAAAATCATGCCTTCAAATGTGAGCATTCAGATTCTTGTTTATCTCAAATTTATGAGCCGTCATTGCGGCGTGGTTTCATGCGTTCATTTTGTGAATAATGCATTGTGTCTCCTTTCGGATTTATTGAAACGATATCTGTTTTTTTGTGGAAACATGATTTGTTTCACGGACCTAAGAAAGTCATGGAAAACATGGTGATTGTAAATATAAACTATGCACAAATGACTTCAAGTGGGAATGTTTGTGGGAGAAACGGCTGTGCACCAATCCCACGTGTGAAAAAAAGTAACGTCCGCTTCTTCTGAGTTCATGTTTCTGCTGGATTGGAGTTTACAATTGATGTTACAATTTCACTGCAACATTGAGGCTTCAGTTGAATGTGTTTTATTGAAGAAAACATGGTGATTGTAAATATCAACTATGCACAAATGACTTCAAGTGGGAATGTTTGTGACTTTTGTGGGGGTTTGGTTTGCGAGGTTCACATTATAGCTCATCACACACCGAATTCTCATGAAAACAGTTTTTCAACGCATTCGATTTGAAAATTTGACAGTTTCATTTTTGTTGCGTTGCGTTTCGTTTGCCTTCACATACCCAAGGACCAGTGTGCGGCCCGGACACGCAACAATGTCATCAATACTTATTATTCCGAACAAATTTGGACTTCAATGATTTAATTTCTCAAAGACAAAAATGTTGGAGGACTGCAACCAGTTTTAGTTGGAAAATTTGGCCATGAAATGGTGGACTGGAGTCCTGCGGCTCGTGGCAATTCTGCCAATTTCAGCTGATGATGTGCAACATATCAGCTGCAAAAGCATCATGGCAGAATCAGGTGCGTGATCGTTGTACAACAATGTATTTCAACGGATTCATGAAACATCCTGCATATGTGCCAAAAATTGCCTCAACAAGACGACATCGTGCGTCATGGTCACTTCGGGGATCGATTTCCCCTTGGATCGATTCCCCTTTCCCAAGGAATGGTCATATCAAACTGATTTATAAATGCCATTGTGGCAACCTCTATCAAATTTGAAAGTGCATTTCCTGCCATCAAGTACCTAAAAAATGGTTCATGAGTGGTGTGAATCGTGTGATTCGACATAACACGAACCCCCTTTGTTTTTTTTTTCCGCCTTGTTCAATTATTGCAAAGGTTGTGCTACACCGTGCGATTGTTCGGAGGGATTCAAGTGTGCGAACACGTCAACTTCAAAAGGTGTGAAAAATAGACAGGACTGTGACATGATGTTTGCATGCATCGTGTTGCGAAAAGAAAACAATGATATTTATGTATTCTGCAGGGTAAGAAACAATGACCCTTCGAAAATGCCCGGCACATTTGATGTATTGTTTTTCCTACAAACATTGGGAATATGATGTGACTTTGAAATCTTGCTAAATAACGATGGCTGAGCGGGATGTCACTGAGATTTTCATCAGTGGATTCAATGGATACTTTCCAACCGTACGGCCTGGAAGGATGCACCGCTGTGTTGCTGCCCAAGCAGTTCCGATGTGATTTTTGCTGCATCACCTGCCATTTGCAATGAGGCACGCTTCCCTTATGCCTTATTCGTTTTGTGCTATGAAAATGTGGTGTCCAGATAATTTTTTTCCGGTCAATCAACAAATTGCAACCTATTTTATTCATTCAGAAAGGACTTCATAGCCAGGGTACTTAAGCATGACTGCAGATTCAAACCCTGCAGAACAAATTGAATACAACAAACAAGCAAGTGTGAGAGAACTTTGTGTCAGGTGAAAAAATGCACTTATGATTGCTGTTCGTCTGGACAAAAATTGTGCGGTGACTCTTGCTGCACAGCGCCTGACTTAGCAAATTGAAATTTTGCCGTGATTCGCAGCTGATTTTATGCGACATCATGTTGGGGATGTCGGCGTCAACGTGTCGGCGTCGTGACTTAGGAAGGTCAGAAATGTATTTCCGGACAATGCACAAGCAACACAACCACGGCACCTCCTGGAGGCCGAAGTTTGCCAAACCTGGAGGTTTCAATGGGTGGTGTATACAGCTGGATGTTTATTTCATGGAAAATCCCAATGAAAAATGGAAGATTTGGGGCTACCCCCATTTCAGGAAACCTCCATATATACTATTGTCATCTATTGTCTATATATAGCTGTTGAGATTCTGTAGCTGTTGATAGAAATAGAGAGAGATTGCGAAATGTATCCAGGTTGCAGCGAAACTTCCTGGCATTGGTTGGAGATCATTCCAGTCCGGAACTAAGATACAACCAGGTAAAGGACTTGTGAGGATTCCAGTTTCTATTTCAGGAAGATTCTGAATGTGCTTGATGTTGCCTGAAGTCTGCAAAGTGCTGCCGAGAGTCGTGAAATTGAACTTTGAATTTTATGGAACCACACCTGGTTTTGATCCCGTGAATTCTCACTAGTTTTTTTGTCTAATTGCTCCGTGCATCTCAACTGTACGCCATTCTGTTCGCTCAGGGATCGAAACTTTGGTCTTATTTCATCGACCTTCTCTTCGTTTGTGGCGTCTTCAGCTCTGGCTATGCATGCAGCGCTTTTCGGCTGGCACCATGTCAACGAGCGCTGCAAGGTCCAAGGCGAGACATGATGGGTTTTGCACGTGAAGCACCGGCATTGGTTGCCAACAGTGTTTCATTGCATTTTCATGATGCTTTTTGAGAGCTGCTGAGTTTTGAAATGCAGGAAACTTCTTAGAAAACTTCTTGTAGCAGCCATTCCTCTTTGATTCTGGAAAGCTGTTACTGTTTTGCACTGTTTTGCTTTGGCCTAGGAGACCCCGGATGTTGGAAAACGCTGGAGGCTGGGGGAGGTTTCCATCATGGTGAAAGACCGGTCATTCAATCAGACTCCCCATGCTGCATTGCAGTCCCAACCTTGTCTCATGTCCACTTAGTTCAGTGCAAACATTGACTCTTCACGGCCAAAGTTCTGCGTCAAGCACATTGGACAGGGGTAATTACATAGACAAAGGTGACAAAGGTTCCTTTCAAACCTCTCCGTTTGTGGCACTTGTATGCAGTTGTGATATCCTGGGATGCCTTCTTGTCCAGGCTTCGCAAATCTTGGGCGAGACGGAGATGAAATTTAGTTTGATTCGGAACACCTTTTCACTCTAGGACAGTGGAGCTGCCCATCTGAACAAGTATGGTTCAAAGACACCCCTTTTGAATCCTTTTGACGCAAATATTTTTCATGCTCATTGAACAATCTCCAACCTTCCTACGTAATAGGCTGAACTTGATTTGCATGACTGATTTGTTCTGTGCTTGTCCAATCTCGGGGGCGGTCGCTTGAGATGGGCGGCAGCATAGAGATGATAGACAGTGACAGGGGTGTGTGAGTGATCCAATGTGATCCAAAGGTAGTATTTTTCTGTGTCGTGCTACCTTTGAATCCAACCGAGCTCAGAATTTGGGTTTACAAGCAACCCAGACACTTGTCGCAATCGCATTGACAGATAAGTCTCAATGAAGAGCGACATTTGACTACAGCAAACGATTGAAGAAAAAATACGATCCACCTGTGCATATGCCAAGAAAACGGAGCAAAGGATCCATTGATGGTTTTGCGTTGTTATTATTGAGCTTTCGAGCACGACCCACCGGATTTCTGTCATAAGATGTGAAAATCACATCATTGTGCAGAGACAGTCATACATGCTGCTAGTGTCAGTCACCTGTCCAAGAGGGAAGAGGCACGAATTCTGCAGCATTTTTTGATCAGAGGGCAATTTGTCAGCAGTGCAACTTAGCGAGGCCGGGGTCAAGTTGTTTTGCGGAGATTTTTGACACCTGCTAGTGGACTATTCAACATGATTGAAGATTGAATGCAAATATATTTTGTGAGTGATTCGCTGATAACACACCAAATAAGCGGTGAGACACAAGCAACACGGGACAACTCTGTAGAAAGTGTCAGATTGCTCGACTCATGTAGGGTTGGAATGGTTTGTCAACGTTTGGCACTTCCAGATTCTGAATGCACAGGTGCTTCATTCTTAATGGCAGAGGGTATGTCTCACCTGGTGGCTTTTGTGTACCCCAACCATCCGCAACAAGAGCAGACCGCAGAGGTGGCAGAGACTGAACCCATGAGTGGTGAGATCGTGGCGAGTATGAATGAGCAACAAGAGATCACCATCAAAGACTTGCAAAAGAGCATGCAAATGGGCGTAGAACAAGTCAGCAAACTTCCAGAGCATCTCGGGCCAATGCTGCAAGGCATGCGCGACCTGAAAGGCGCTCTACCCCATCCTGATCGAATTCAGGACGAGAAAACCCGGCAGCACTTTCAAGCTGCTCATGATGAGCTGCGTGAGACTCGAGACAAACTTGTGAGCAAAGTGGCTTTGCTTCAGACCCAGGGAGGCACATGCCGAGGCATGATCATCTCTCTTCAAACACTGATCCAAAAGCTTTACAGAACTTGTCTCTCACCATCATCGCAGATGATCAAGTTTGACCCTGCAGCCTTCCGAGATGAAATTTCGCAAGTTCGCTCCTTTTCCCAGCAAATGGCAGAGCATTTTGCTGGTTGGGGGCAAGCCAGGACTGCATGTGCAGCGACCTCTGCCCTCACCAAAATCGAAGTGTTGATCCCTGCCGCAAATGCCAATGCAATGGTGTCCTCTTCCGATGAAGCCCTGCAGAAGTATACGAAAGCAGAGGCAGATATCCAGTATTTAGTTGCTAAGAGGTACCAACAGCAGTACGTTCTCGATGCCAGCCGAGCACAACTTGAGGATATCAAGAAGAATCGATCGGCTGAGGAGGAAGCCGTTGAGGACTTGGAGAAGCGAATGGAGGAATTAAACAAGCAGACAGCTTTGCTCGAAGAAGCTAGAAAAGGCGAGTTCGACCATCTCAGGCTTGCCGTAGCAACCAGAGTACTACAAGCAATTTGCCATTGTTGATAGCTGTCTCAAACAGAAAACATTTCTCAATTTGGACTGTATGAACACCTGGTGTTGACCGGATCCGACTTGTTTTCTGCAGGAAGGAATGTGACGAGCTGAAGACGGATCTGGCAAAATGGCAAACTGAAATGGAGAAACAGAAGAAAGATGACGTCGAGCAGAAGAAGGCCGCCTGCTGCTGTGGATCTTTTGTCAGAACATGCCTAGCCTTTGAGTTCTCGCTGTTTGATCTTGTTGTTGCTGAACGTTAAAAGCTACCAAGCAGCCATACATGTTTCCAGGAGGAACGGAAGAAGAAGATGCAGGAGTTTGACAAATACCAGAACGAATGTGAGCAGTCGCTTTTTGCCACTCGGGCATCAGCCGCTTGCCTGATAGTAGGCTTGGCAGGTCCCAATATTCAGTCCATTTGATTTCTGCAGAGTTGGCAACCAGTCTCCATCTCCAACCCCTGTCTGTCAACCTCTTTTTGCGCTGCACTGGTTTGTCAGGTTTATGGCAACCATTTGATTGTGCTCATTGACATGAGCTGGAGCATGTCATGTAGTGGGCGATGGCCAGCGACTTTGACAGCCTTTGATGCTTTGAAGGCAGCCAGAGGCCCAGAAGGTGCCAACGATACTATGAGCTTGGTGCTGTTCAATCACATCGCCCGAGTGGAGTTTTCGAATGAACCGTTGACAGCAGGCAACACAACATTGTCAGCCACACCTTCAGGAGGTACCTGCTATGCTCAGGCTTGGCTTGAAGCAAAAAAGGTTGCCCAATTAACAAGTGAAGCTCATCGGCCTATTATCATCATGATGACGGATGGCGAAACATCAGAGTCTGATGTTGCAGCGGCAGCCGCCACTGCCCAAGAAGTCCGCAATCTCCATTCAGGCTTGATTACGTTCGCCATTGCCTTGGGACAAGACGTGAAGAAGGGGAAACTTGAGCCCATTGTGAAGGCAGGGAATGGCGGAAATGATATTCATTGCTTCGGCAATCAAAAAGTCCCCCTTTTGGCCCAAGCAACCACACGAACACTGCCCAAGACCTTCAGAAAGATTGCTTCAACGGTAAGTATGAAAGAGTACGAGATGAAACGACAGCTTCAGCTCTTGGAAGAGCAACGAAGTGACCAGCAGAAGCAAATGGAGCAATCTCTCGAAGACCTCAACAAAACGCACAAGATCTTGAACGACAGTGCGGTCGAAAGCAGCCGAGTCCTTCAGGAGGCTAAGGAACAAGATTCAATCAAGAGACAGGAGATCATTGACCGCCAGATTTCGCATTGTGAGGATTGTCGACGTCACCTATTAGAGAAGATCAAGCAAAAGAAGCAAACCATCATGGTCTTGAGGGGGCAAGAAGTTGCTTATGAGAAGGACTCCATCCCCAAACTAGAAGAGCAACTACAGGCCACAGAGCAGAACTATGAGGACTCAAAAGAGGCACTCAAGAGTCTAGGCCTTAATGACCTGTTCACACCTGTACACTGACTGACAGTAATCATGCGAAGCAAAGTTTTCAGGATAGTTGTGATGTCATGTGTGTGTGTGTGTGTGTGAAATGTCTGTAGAGACGTAAAACTTCCATGCCTGTATTGGTTGTGCTCCCTAGGGCTTCTCCTATTTTTCAAACATGCAGAGGATTTTTCCAACAAGCACGGGGCGACAGGGTCGCTGCATGGCTGTCGCCAACGAAGCTCCATGCAGTTGACTAGGATATGGAGTCTCATCAACTCCACGTGCCTGCAAATCATTTTGTTTTCTGAAATGGCGACCGGCTAGGCCAAGAGCCGGACAGATATTTTCTTATTTCTGCAATCATTGCTTGTGGATGGCGACCGGCTAAGCCAAGAACCGGACAGAAATTTTTACGAGTATTCTGCACGGTTTCCACAAACTTTTTACTGGGATATTCACGGTCGCTTCGCGACGAAAACCGTACGCACCAAGTGTAATGGATTCGGGAAGCGCACTTATTGGGCACTTTTGAGCTCCGTATGCGTATGAGGCTATCTTGGCCCCATATGAGGGTATGTTGGCCCCATTTGAGGCTATGTTGGCCCCGTGTGAGCCTATCTTAGGCTCATGTTGGGCCACGTTGGGCCTATCTTGACCGATTTTTGGCCTATATTGGCCCAGATCAACAATTTTGACCCCTTTTGAAAAACATGCAAAAACACAGGATTCTAGAGCAAAAATGCCCCCCCCCCAAGCTAAAGCTTATTAGCTATAGTGCAATTGCTAACGGTTCACGCAGGCACACAAAAAACGCCTCGGCACCTTCGGTGCGGGCGGATTTCACCAAGATTCTGGTCGCGATCTTATTTTTCGATGGTATTCAACTCTGGGGTCTTTTTGCACCAGTTTCTAAGCGTGATTGACTTTATGGGAACTCCCTCATATTATTCGTATACCGCTTACCGCTTCAAGGAGATCTACTTTAGGTCCTTTGTTTCTAACTAATCTAATTGCATGTGATGGGATTCAGTTCCCACCGGATCACTTCAATGATCCAGTTCTTGTCTAGTGTGTGTGTTTGTGCCCGCGTGCATGTGTTTGCGCATGATCATGACATGACCTGCCATCCGCCTCACCTCCACTGTACTTGTAGTGCATCTGCATCTGCAAGATCGAAACATGACTTGCCAAAGGCTTGCAAAAGTCTACGGGCTCTGGGCAACTTCAAAAGATTGCAGCAGAACGTGAGAGGTTGCTAAAACAGGTTGGCACTAACAGTGATTCGGAGATGGCTTCCTTGTTACAGAATGTGCAAAAATACATCGGGATGCGAGATGCGGATCGGGTACAAACCTGCGCGACTGAAAGCTTTGCTGGCAATCTCAAATGCTTTACGCACACTCTTGCCAATGTTCTTGAGGATCCCTGCCACGCCCAGAAGACTCCTTACGTTTGCAAATATGACTACATCATGGAACACTATCTCAAAGAACTGGGAGTTCCAGTCAAGGTTCCAATGAATTCAAGCAGCAACTTCAAAAAAGTGTTGCAGTACCACTGGAGTCAAATGGTTGTTGGCAGCACAGAGGGGACTCAGGTGGACCCAAAGACCTTGGAACTCATTGTGAAGAAGGTCGACCCTCTGGAGCTGTGTGAACTGCTGGATGCAGACCCAAGGCAGGAGACAGAAGCCCTGAACATCTTTGGGAAAAGCATGGAGCAGGAGTTGATGAATTCCACGGCGGGGTTCAGAAAGTGCGTTGCAAAGATTGACAAGGACCGCTCTTCAAGCCGCTTTCCTTTTTTTTAATCTGTGGGACACCCCAACCAGCAATGCTGAAGCAGGCTCTCCCAGCTCTTTGGTTCCGTCTCCCATCCAGTCAAAAGGGCACAACATTACACACCGCAAAGAAATTTGTTCGATTTGTACCGTTTTATCATCTTCTTTCATGCTATTCTACAACTTGCGCACAAGGAGAAACAAAAGAAGAATCATCTTGAAGAAAAGCTCGAGAGGCTGGAGGAGAAGATTCGGCTTAGTAAAGACAAGCATGATTCGGCAGCCTCCAGCGGTGACCTCTTGGATCTGGAGCAAGTCGAAAAGCAAGAAAAAGCACTTGAGGATCCGTTATTTTTGCTTTTTGGTAATACTTGACTAGTTTTGCTATGTTTTGCTTGGATGTAAGTCAGCATTTGATGGTGAGATTCCAACTCTAATTTGGCAGCCTTCTCTTTCCTTAAATGTTCATGCAAGTGACCAGGGCAAGCTGGACTTGCCAAGGCGGAAAGCCATTCAATGATTGGATTCAGCAGGCAGTGCAATCTGCTAGACCCCTGATATTTGCCAATACTTCCATGCACAATCCCAAGCCTCAGGATCTCGAAGGAAAGCTGGAAGAGCTTACTGACAAGGTAGACGAAGTTGCGTCTACGATCAAAACCCTTGAGGAAGAGAAGAAGGACAAGCACGAAAAGATGATTGGATTTCATCCTCTCATTTTAGACCTTCTTTTTGCTTTTAAAGTCGTCGTGGGAGATCAATATCTGTCAGTGACTGCAACGCAAAATGGAGCTGAAGGCGCTCAAGTAGTTCGCGCTAGAAAGTATTGATACATTGCAGGAGGCCCTGTGTGAAGATGGACGCTTGCCGATCGCCAAGGTGCCTTGTTTTTTCCTTTTTTCCTGTATTTCCAATGATTATTGACTATTTCTCTCCACTTCTGTGGCCGTTTGCAATCTCCAGCCCTTTTGTCGCTGACACCTTGCAGGATTTGCTGAAGCACACCCTCCGTGGACTCCAAAAAGCGTTCCCTGGCAGTGAAGTTGTCTACTGTTGTTTCCCGTTTCAGCATTTATTATTTGCACTTTCTTGACGAAGTGTGCCCCTGCCATAAAAATGAATGCAGAATTCAAGTCCATGGATTATCTTGTTTGCTCGGAGAGTTTCCTACGTAATGAGCAAAGTATGGTGCGTTCAAGAGCACCAAAGGTTTTGCAACACGCGCCTTTCTGCAGGATCCTTGCAGTTGTAGTGCTAGGAACAGATTTCGCAGTTTGCCCCAGCGTTGGCTCATTCAACTCAATGATTGCATCAGGTACCACTATCGCATGTCTATGTGGCAAAAGCACTGCCTCATGGTGCACTTCGAGTCGATGAAAAATGTTGTGGAGCAAATGCAGCAGTGCATCCAGGTGTGGGGTCGGCTTGTGCAAATCTGCAAGATCAAGAAATGTGATGACTCCACATTGCACTTCGTGTGCTAGTAGGGTTTTTCAACGCCGAATCAAAAACTGCAGTCGGCAGTCCGCAACAACTGGAGGTGGCTGAGCAAGGCAATGCAGTTCTATCAGAGCATGCCATGCTTCACCAGACTGCAGCCGTGGCACCCAATCCCCAGCTGAGAGTCCTCACGGACTACCGAGCACCTTGGCCAAGAATACAAGATGGAGCATGTGCAAGACATTTCAAGAGAGTGTTTCACCATCTTTCATCATTTCTTTTTTTTGCTTGTCTTCATTTACGACCGGCCTGGTTGAATCAATATTGTGTGTGTCATGCAACGTAGATAATCAGTGATGTGGAGCGGACAAAACGGCGGTAGTTGGATTGATTGGCTTTGATTGCACATATGTTCCGATCCGCTTTTCGAGGTTGGTGAGCTGGAACCAGAGATGATTGACTAAAAGGCCCACTTTATGCTCGTTCAGTTGATGTTCCATGATGTGCAGAGAGTTAACAGCTTGCCCAGTTCTTTGCCTTGCATGAATATTTGCTCTGTATGCATTCCACACATTAGTGCGTGGGGTCCTCCGAGATGTAATGCGCAAAGTCAGGCGTTGAAGGATTGGACACAAGGAGCTCGAGTCGAGGTGAAGTCAAAGTCTAGTAGACTTAAAGTCTAGATAGGTTGTAGCTGCAACTCTGATAGCATAGTGAGCAGTTTCAACAACTAGAAGCCAGAATCTGTTTTCGATGTATATTAATGTATATTCATACATACTTGAAGAGACATTCTTGGACGATGCTTGATGCTGCTCCATTTAATTTGAATTATTGTTCCAAGATATTCCAAGCATGGAGGCCTTTGGAAACCGCACAGTTCACAGGCTTCCAAAGTGGATCATCAAATCGTACATTTGGTCCAAGGTTTCGACATCAGTCGAAGCCTGCATTGGCTAAATGTCAAGATAAGAGCTTGGAAAAAGATGAAAAACTTCTGGATGAGTTTTGGGAGGACGTGACCATCATTCTTTATAATTTTTCATATTTTCTTGTAGTTCGTTGCTCCAGAACCTCAGATTGAAGAGAGACACACGTAGACACTCACACGTCCATTGAACAGGAAAAGGGTTTCCGAGTGTTTCCGAGCTCAAACGTAAAGTTGATGCTGGAATTTTGAGGTCGCAAAGCCTTGACTGCACAAAGTCTTTGACTTCTTGTAGTATTTGAAGGTCATAGGGAAGAGTAAACTTTGAGGCAATGAACACCAGGCCAGATGCAATGAAATTCTGCAATGTGCAACCGGCAGATGACCATGGATGCAATTTTCATGAACAGCGACAAGAAACAGTTGAGACAGGTGACCAGTGCCATGTTTCTGGGCTATGTGAAAACTGTATAAAACTGTGATTTCCCGAGAAAAAACAAGGGACGGCCACCTTGAGAAGTCTCGCTTGCAGTTACAGTACATCAAGTCACAATAGGCTCATGTCCAAAAAACCCTGAACTCCGACGTATTTCGAGAGAGTCTCAAGCGTAGACAGACCACTCTTTAGCTGGCAAACGATTCACTGCAAAGATGTCAAAGCATTTGATTTATCTATCTTTGCTTTGACATTGCAATGACTGCTGATGGCACGAGCCGAGACCGCGCTCTCCAAGGCATCAAGATTCGTTGTAATCATTTTGTCTCAAAGTCGTTGGCCGCTGTCGAATTGTTCTTGTAGAAATTGTCTCCGAAGATCTCCGACGACTTTTTCGTTTCTGCTCTCAGTCAGAGCTGCTGGCTGCCTGCCGTGGCTATCAGACGGGCCGGCGGCTTGGCAACCGAGGTGGGGAAGATGCTGTAATGGTGAACTGCTTGGTACATTTTGATTTATTTTGTTTACACTTGTTCAATCTTATGCATAAAAACATAAACTGTTTACAGTTTAGGTTCATAAATTTATGTAAAACGGCTTAAAACAGTAAACTGCAAACATTTGTAAACGAAGTCTTGTGAGCCTTGGGTTTTCCGTCTTTTCGTTGGGCCTTGATTCCGTGGAGTTTTGCACCATGCAGTGGAGCTTGCTGCTCTTTCCTGCCAGGCTATGCACAGGGACGGCAACTCTCTTGCGGTGCAACAGGTGAGCTCAGCTGCGTGAGCTTTGCATGTGGGTCTTGTCGTTGCGCTGACGTTGCATCAAGAGTTGTAACCAGGAGAGGTGTACTTCGGCCGCGCCGCTCCAGACTCGGCAGTGCCTTGATCGGACATGACAGTGGGAGATGGGAGAAACGTACAGCCGCTATATCGACTTTGATTGTTCTTTTCTCAAACTTCACGTGTATGCCATGCAACAAAGAAGGAGTACGTTCTGGGTACAGTCTCATAGGTTGAATTGCTCATGCGTTGACCCACTTGGAACCATGGATATGAGAATCATCAGTGCTATGACAGTGAATGATGATGATGATGATGATGATGATGACGATGATGATGATGAGGAGGAGGAGGATGATGATGGTGATGATGAGTGCACGGAGATGATTTGCACATGAAACGCCTTGGCGACGGCTTTGACCTTGCTTGGTCTCAGGGCTTTGAAGGTTTGCCTGGCGCGACCAGTCAGCCCCGCCAGGTGAGGACTCACAGGTTCTGCATGATGTGCTTACCTTGACCTCGTAGTCAGCTTTAGAATTCATACGGAACTTTTTCACTTCAGACCTTTGTCACTTTCTTTTTTATTTTCTGGGATTATGTGCTGTACCAGATTTTGTAAACTGGCTGCAGGTTGCTCTGAAGTACATGCGTAGCATCAACGCCGGCGTACAACGCCAGATACAGCAAGAGGTTCCCTGCCCTTGCTGTCTGCACTGTGACATGCTATGTGGGCGCAAAGACCGCTTCAACTTTTGCGGTTTGCAGTTTGCCGCCAGATCTCGACTGTCTTTCGCTGCCGTTCTAAGTATGCTGATGAGGCCGCAGACAGACTGTCTACACTGAGTTTTTATTCTTGGGTTGCCCTGAAGCGGGGGCATACAGACGGAACTTGCTAAAGCAAGAACAGTGGCTAACTACTGTAGGCATTGCAAAAGTTAGGAAACTGTTGAATTCAGCATATTTCAGCTGCAATTTTTAGATTCAGTCAGGTGAAAGATCCCGCCTCGGAAGGGTCAGGGTCTCAGCTGTAAAGAGGAGTTCTAGCCGCTGTATTTCTTTGCAAATCATGATGTTCGTACTGCATGTGGGAAAAAGATGGAAACAGATCCATGGTGCATTGGTGTACTGATCTTTCTTCTTTTAGTACCAAGGCACCCCAACCTTGTGGCATACCTGGATTGGTTTGCAGGGCCAAATGGCCTGGACAGAGAGGTGTACCTGGTCTATTCCTCAGGGATCGTCAGCTCCAGCAGTTCCAGCAGTTCCAGCGTGTGATCAATATATTTGCATATAAGTGTGCGTATATATATATATTTATAATATATATATATACAATATATATATATATATTCACATAAATGTGATTGTAATCAAAGACAAACCGGAAGAATCTTCCCTGGATTTGAAAAAGAACCTTCCCTTAGAAGAGGAGGAAGAGATGGCTCCATAGCAACCACCGAGCTAGGTGATGGAGTTCTGCCCTTTCAGCCTGGCTGACATGATATTTGTCGCAGGTGCAGGGTCATACTGGGTCACACTGTCGTTCAACATCAGATGAACTCCACTGGAGTCAGTCACTGGTCACTGGACTTTTCATATCCTTTCCCTTCGACTTCAATGAAACGTCTCCCGGAAGGTAATCTCCGTGGCGATTACGAAAAGTCTTTCGTCTCAGTCAAGCGTGGCAAGAGTCTGGCAGGCTGGTGTTGTGTGCAGGATCAAACATTCACACTCTGTGGACGTTTAGTTCCTCATGGAGTTCTGTAGGTGAAACGTCTGGCCAGCTGCTTATCAGCTCAACAGCTGTGTTAGCTGAGTTTACATCTGAAATTCGTATGGCACCTGTGTTTTTTTCTGTTGAAATCAGGATCCTCCCATGTCACAAAATTGCGCAATATGTACCTAGTGGTGGGACCAATCCGCACGAAAGGCAAAGCAGAGAAATGACCAGTGCATTTTCTGAAATCCAACAATCATTGAAAACAACTTTGCCAGCAAAGGCGGTGAGTCGCCAGGCAAGGGATTTTGATAAGAGCGGGATTAGCAAAATCCAGGGGTGGTGGCACTTGGATGGACGTTGTGGCTCTTTGTGGTAAGTAGTTTGCATGCACGAATCTTGTCGTGATTCAGCCTTGAGCCACAGGGGAGAAGAAGTCCCCCACCTGCTTTCGATTCTCCGAGTTCGAAGTGGTGAAGGCAGACAGACTGACTCTACAGAATGGCCAATGTAAATAACATAATGACAGGAAAGATGGCATTCAGGCTCCTACGAAGACTTTTCCCTTTGACCATTTCATGTTTGCATTGCATGACACCTTTCGCTGCACAAATATGCGCAAATTAAGTGTATAAAGGATGTATGAAGGATGTATAAAGGATAAGTGTGATGGATGCTCCATTTCGCTTCCCACTTCCGCAGGTGTCGTGTGACCTTTTGAATGCCCTCACCTTCATGAATCGGCATGGTATGGCTCATCGAGTGACCTGGCGGGATATCAAGAGACCACAAGAGACACACCAAATTGCTGGCTATTTATAGCAGCTTGTGCCAGCAAGACTCAGTGGACTAGTTGTTTGCGCTGGTTCTGGAAACCAATGGGACTCTTAGAGTCTTTTTTTCTGCTGCCATGAGACTCTCGCCCCATTTTCATCGGATTCCTTGTTCTGACCTCGCTACAGGAATGACTCAGAGGCAGTCATACATCATTTTCGTGAATGCTGAGGATGTCAAGACCGAGAACATCCTGTGGGCAGAAGGCACTTATCACTTGTCATCACGATCGAACGTCTGAGGATCGTTCCTTTGTTCATTGTAAGCTGGTCAGCACGAAGAGAGAAGATACTCAAACAAAAGCGTATCTGTGATCGGGTGTGTTGGGACCCAAACAGGATGTCTCTTGACTTGAGCTGTTCAACCACAAGATTGTGATAGGCCGGTACAAGCTGGCTGATTTTGGTACTGCGACATTGCTTGAGGCGCATCATTCATCCAAGCCCTGGTAGTTTTTCTGACAGCACGGAGGAGAGAGTGAAACCAATTCTACGAATTTTGATGTCATTGCTGGAACCTGGAGCACCTGGATTTAGTCTTCTATTTGGTGAACAGTCGACGCCTTCTCGAAGAGATGAATCTGGCACCCTGTGGTATGAAACTCAAAGAATTGGCTGGATGGCGATTGGAAACTGGAGGATAAATTTGAAGTTTCCAACATGCAAGTTGCGCTGCTTGAAGTACATTTGATTTCTGGAACAGCTCAACTATGGTAAATCTGTTTGTTTCTTTACATACTTCGGAGAAAGATTGGAGCTTTCGAGGATCATGGCTCCTGAGCTTCTCGGTCGTCGACCTCACGGCCTAAACTGTGACATTTGGTCTGGTGTCACAGAGATGTCCCACACAGTCTGAGATTTAGCAGTCCTAATCAGCACTTTGCCCATGGATATTTTGTCACGTTTTCACATTGTGAGGACTTGAAAAAATGGCTAACTTGGCGACTTTTTAAGGTCCCTGGGAGTCGTCCTCTTCGAGGCTCAGATTGTCCAGCTGCTTTGCCTTGACCTTGCTTTGTAGCAGACAATTCTCACCATGGTGGCACCGAAATATATGATCAAATAAATTTAAACAATACAACGCCTTTACTGTACCTTTCAGAGCTTACCTCTACGATTTCATGTAGCTTGGATAAACGACTTTGTGCAGAGAAACACTCGAACGCAGAAAGGTATGGTACATAGTCTGTGGCTTTGTTGAGCTTGAACAACTACAAGCCGGGGGTCGTTGCAAGATGTTGCAATCCTCCAGTTTTGCCGGCTGCAATGAGTGGAGTTTGCCATCCCTTCTCGGAGGTCACCTCTTTTACCAAGCCCTTCAACTCGAAGGACAAATCTTGCATAACCTTGCTACTCGTACTAGTCGATGATGACATGATTTGAAGATATTTGAAGGCAGTGTACTTCTTTTCTAAAAGACATCAGGTTTTCAGCAAAATCCCTACGTAAGCGTACTTTGAACTTGTGATCAGACACACAGTACATGTTATATTAGAAAATTCAATCCTTTGCAAGACGTTTGCTTTATGCTGCAATGCCCAAAGGCCAGCAATTCGACATACAGATATATACGTTGTTGCAGCTGTGCGTTTAAATTTTTTTGAACATCGGTCTGATTGCCGTATTGATTGCATGCTTGAGATACTTGCGGGTGTGCGTTTGGCAGGAACTTCTTGCCTATCGGAATTCCTCAGAGGTTGCCATGTCCGAAGTGTTTGGATCAACAACGAAGACTTGTGTGGAATTGTGCGACTTAGTGCTGCTAAATGCTGCTAAAACAAAGAGCCTAACTTTAGCTACCTTGTGAACTCTAGATTGAACGGATTGGATGGCTGGTGAGCTGGAGTCTGTCAGGCTGCTTTTTCCTCAAGTTTTTGGCCTTTTCTTTGTGGTGCGCACCTGGCACCTGGAGTCTGAAAGAAAATGCACGTCTTGCTTCAGACGTTTTGTGAGAGATAGTAGTTGAATCACTGCGAATGGAAAGCAGTGGGGATCTCACAAGTTGGAATACTGATGTGTAAAAACATGTTGTTTGCCTAGAGACGTCTGCAAGACTTGAAGATCTGCGACTTTCTACAGTTCCCTTGAAGTGGATTTTCAAATGCTAGGTACTTCTGGACCTTCGACCCCTGCGCGTACAAAGGCCACACATTTGCCAACATTTGAAACCACATTTGTCAACATTTGAAACCACATTTGTCAACATTTGAAACCGCATTTGTCAACATTTGAAACCACATTTGTCAACATTTGAAACCGCATTTGTCAACATTTGAAACCGCATTTGTCAACATTTGACCTTGTTTGCGCTTGTTGCTTGCAGAATTGCTTGTACCGGCCAAGCATTCTGTGCTTCACAGACACTTCCCCGACTGAAGAGTGGTTCTGAGCTGCCGAGGCTGATCTGGGAAAGTATGGGAAAGTGTGAATGGCTGAAGGGCTGAAGGATACTAAAGAAGAGGTCATCAACATCAACCAGTCATGTTATTGTCACCTTGGACCAGAGGCCAAATTTGGTCAAGGGTGCTTTATTGTCTTTGTTCCAAGTGAAGATGGCAGAAGCCTTCCAGTTGGCCATACAGATTCGTGAACTCAGAAGGAGAAGCACCGTGAAATTTGGCAAGGCCCTTGCGGCAAAACGACTTGGGTATTGCAGCAGAAACGCCATTTGCCAAGTACACTTCCAAAACAAGATGAGCAAATGGCATCAAATGGCATCAAATGGCATCAAATGGCATCAAATGGCATCAAATGGCATCAAATGGCATCAAATGGCTATAATGGCTCCATAGCTTGCTTAGCTTGCGTAGCTCGCCCAGTGCTTTGTGATTCTCTCCTGCGAGGACACCTTCACGTGCAGGGCGTTGGAGCCTTGAGTAGATAAGGAACAAAATTAATATGAAACCATACGAAATGGATGCCATTCTTGGAGTCGCTTCTGTGCACCTGCTTGATCGCTATCTGATTGCTACCTGATTGCTATTTGGACTATCCGCATTATTCTACATTCAGCATACTGTAGAAAAGGCTGGATGTTGTCCAGGTTCTTGATGGCATGTGTCAACACATGTTTTGCACATGTGTTTGATTTGGCTTAGTACTGCACCCGAGAAGTTAGGTAACATCCGCAGCAAATGCCGCAGTGTTGTCTGATTCCAAGACTTTCCAGGAAGAGAAGGGTGACAGGGTTACAAAGCAGCCCGCTTTTCAGGGTTTTCTGGCAAGTTGATTGTGTTTGCTTCTCACACTGCTCACTGAGACATTGCCCCCACTCTCACATGGTGCAAAAGAGGTGCCACCAGAGGGAAATTCAATGGGATTGACACATGCACGAAAGTAATGTGACACATGCTACATGACTCTTACATAACCCTCTGATCGAATCACGGAACATGCTCGCCCTCCTACTTGGGTTGCTTTGGGACGATGCTTGAGCCTGAAATCTTGTGAGTGCGCGCTTGCGGGTTGACTAGGAACGAAATATAGACCCAAGATAGGAGGCAGTAACGTCTCATGGTCCTGGTCTTGTTTTGGGTGCAAGTCCTTTACACAAACAAAATGTGCTGGGCCAATTCAATTCTGGGTGACCGCTCACTGCACCTGGAGCGCCAGCTCCACACACAACAACAGCAGCACAGCGACATGGCACAACTCTTTTCTGAGCGTCCTAAAATTCCGTTCCAGTCGGAGCTTCAAGCTAGTCCAAGGATTTTTCTTTCTTTTTGAGCCTTTTCTGAGCCTTTTTTGAGCTTCAACTATGATCTTAGGTGGTAGTGTGTAAAAAGGTCAAAAACACAAGAACGCGCAGGTGCTATTCACCCCCAGCAATGCCCATTTCAAACCACTTTGCGCTTGTTTCTGGCTTCTTGTTGAGCCATGTGCGAATCTGTTTGACCAGCAGTCAAAAATGGGAAACAATCTCATGATGTTTGCTTGACGCCATGGAACCATGATTACCCTGACAGCGACCAATTGTGATCAGATTTGTCATATTTGAAACTATCAGCATAAATCTAAGTCCTGGTTTCAGAAAGTCTGGTTGCATAATTTCTATCTCTTGTGGGTCTGGAGGGATACTTGATTGCAGGTTTCCGAAGGAGACGAGAGTTTGGAGCCAAGAGCTACCATGCCTTCAGCAAAAAATCAAATGAAGTGGTTCACATGCTGGTTCGCTTTCGTGCATCGATGCTCATGTCCGTGTATTGGCGGGAATGCTGTTGCCAGGTCCAACTTCACCGGCATCCGAGGACCCATGGTGACCCATGGTGACCCATGGCAGAATTTTTGAGGTCAGTGGCTTGACGACCGAGTCCCTCCAGGACCACCTCCAACGCTTCAACTTCCTCAGAAAGCGGCTCCTATATCGGTGGTGCTACAGTGAGGCTGTCAACGTGGCGTGAATTGCTGGAGCTGCCAGCTACGAAGTCACATGACAGTTGAAGTCACTTTGCCTTGGACAATTGGAATAATATGGAATAATCGCTTTTCGATTTATAGGGCTAACAAGTGGTCGATAGCCTGCAAGACGATGATGCTGCGAAGTCAGGACATAAGAAGTTTGATCTTCGAGGATATGCTGTGACTCTGGCATGTTTAACGGACATCCCATCGAGGTTTCACTGTTTTCAACGGACATTACGGTGACACTACGACTTTGTGGCACTTTGTGATCGGCACATTCTTCCTGGGAGATGCTGTTCAGGCGTGAGGAGCCAGAACTTCGCCCCACAGCGCTGGAGGTTTGGCAGAGCCCACGCTTCCATGGCTTGGCCGAACGAGAGGTGCCTTGTTGAAGCACAGAATTTTCTTGACGAGTTATATGTTTTTTTCTCACGAGTCTTACAGTCTTACATGATCCTGTATGGTCTGACATCCTGTGTGACATCCTGTACATCTCCGAGTTTCCCTTCACAGAACCATTCAGCTTCGGCAGGCAGAGCCTGCTGCAGAGGGCTTGGTGCTTGAGGAGTTGCTGAGGCCAGGCGGTTGTGGTTTTGCGGCCAGGCAAAAGGGGAAGAGGAATCAATTCTCAACTAAGACCTGGCACAGTGGCAGAAGAAGAAGAAGAAGAAGAAGAAGTGGTGGTAGAAGAAGACGAATAAGAAGAACATGAAGAACATAATTATTTGGAAGAAAGATTAAACAGGAAGCAGGGGAAAGACTCACGATGATGATGAACAATAATGATAATAGAAATAGTAAGTAGCAGTGGAAGTATGTATATAATCCCATACGTATATACACTTATTTTATGTTCTAAATATACATCCGTAGATGTATGTAACACATAGGCGACTTAGTGTGAGTAAATTCATTTTGCAGAACCATTATATATGTATATATATATGTATATATATATGATACACATACATACTCTCGTCCCGCTTTAGCCCTACTGTGCAAAGTGGGAAGTGCTGATGACGACAAAAACACAAACTGGAGCAAAGATCCTTTTCATATCTTATCATAACTACTTTGGGCCAGGGCTGTTTGCGACACCACTTCAATATGGTTGCACCTCACCCCGCCATGCATACGCAAAGTTCAAAAGTTCCGCAGGTCTGTCACTGCAGACAATTTTCTGCGGGCAATGAAATTGCCAGCGACACAAGGAGGTGGACTGATTTCCACATTTGAGGGGTGTGAAGTTGGTGAATTTGATTCGGTGGGGACAAGACTGCACTGTCCAGGCTATCTTGCGACAGTTGTGTCCTCAGAACATGCAAGGACCAGAGCTTCCACTGCTGCCTTCATATTTTTGCAAGGGCATGTCATCAGGCATTGCTGAAAGTCATAGCCGTCATAGCCTTTTGCGAAAGCTGATTTTCATCTCAAGGCCGCAGGCTGAAAGACTCGCTGATGTGAAATCACCACACTTGCAGTCCGCTGTGACGCAGCAAACTGTAAGCTCACTTTTTAAAAATCCGGTCTCCTTCTTGATCTGGACATATTGCCGAAAACAAACAGCGGGCAAAGGACTGACGCAAAAAACATCATATTGGCGTTGATATTTGTTGTCAGTCAGTCTCTTGTGTACAGCCTGGCCGTTTGAAGGCTGTGTTAATGTTGGAGAGATACCTCAAAGGGGACTCTCAGAGTTAAGCGGTTCCTTGTGGCGCAAAGAACGCCAGGCGATTCATCAAAAGAAGGGCATTCAAGAATTCGAAGATGTTTTTGTTGATTTTTGTTAGCCCCAAGCTTTGTCTCGTGCTCATCCCTCAAAGATCTCGTTGAAGCATAGCACATCTGCAAGGACTGAGACAACTTGCTCTACCATTGTCACAGTGCTCTTGCAGTCTTTCCGCTTTCAATCAGATAATTATTCAAGGATCGCTTAGCTGCGCAGCCAAAGCTGTGAAATTTGTACAGAACGGCCTCGGCTGTGAATGACGTCCATCGCTTCCAACTTCTTTGGGAAGATGAGCTGGGGTCCTCGATCCAGACTGCGGGCTGCTTCTTCCGGCATCTCTGCCCCATCAGCTGGGCCAGCTGGGCCAGGTGGCCCATCAGGTGGCCCATTTGTCACCTTTCGGGTGACTGCGAAGGGCATGCAAGCCGATGAGACCCTGTATATGGTAGGAGGCGCGGGGTCCGCCAAAATCAGACTTTTCAAAAATCGGGAATTCTTGATTTTGGGGTACCAGTTGATTAGTTGATGCATTCTTGGGCACTTTGATTACTGAAGCCAAAGACCGCCGTCAGATCACGATGATTTGGGAGCTGGGAATCCGCTGCTGGGCAAGAGGCTTTCCTGCAAGGATGGCAAAACATGGACAATCCGGCGGCCATTGAAACGAGGAATGTCAACCTACAGATTTGTGTCTGTCTCCAAAGGCACTGAAAACGGGGACTCTTATGTGCGATGGGAGAATCATGACAATCGCGTGTTCAAGAGGCATGGCCCATTGACCACCTGCGTCGAAGTTCTGGAAATCACAGGCTTCGGTGAAAGGCAGCGTGTGACCCCACCAGTGATCCAGCCATGCAAGCAAGAGATGGAAGAGTCTTTGGGTCCAGAACCTGAGCCTTGCCAGGAGCCAAAGAGCCCCATAATCGAAGGAAGTTTAGAAGTCAAACTTCCGACAATATGGACAGATGGAAAAGCAGAGGTGGGAAGAGTCAGAGAAGAGAAGAGCAGAAGAGAGAAGATCAGAGAAGAGAAAGATTCAGAGGAAAGAAGATGCAGGTGCGCGAAAAGGTAGGAAAGTCGCGATTCACTGTGTCTTTCCAAGGATTCGTGGCTCCGGAGGGTCGAAAAGTAGGCTTGCTACAGCGGCGCGTGTGGAGCCATCTGGCCAGATGAGAGATGAAAAACTGCACGCTGTTGTGGCGTGAAGCACATTTGCAAGTGAAAAGTTTAAAAAGGCCTCGCATTTGGAGCCCTTTTGGAAGTTGAGATGATGAAAAAGTGCACGCTGTTGTGGCGCGAAGCACATTTCGAAGTTACTTTTGGAAGATGACACGTCGAAAAAGTGCACGCTGTTGTGGCGCGAAGCACATCTCGAAGTAACCATGTACAAAACACCTCAGCTTCGGACCACTTTTGGAAGTTGAGATGTCGAAAAAGTGCACGCCGTTGTGGCGCGAAGCACATTTCGAAGCCAAAAATGGACAAAACTGAGGGGTGCGGACCACTTTTGGACGTTCAGATGTCGTTTTGCGTGGCAGGCACAAGGGATTGTGCACCCTGTCAAAATTGAGCAAAACGCGAGGAGGGTTTTGTAGCATTTCCAAAAACGATGGCAGGCGTGGGACATTTGAAACGGATCTGCAAAGATGCATTTTCCGTGGCAGGCGCTGTGCAAGAGACATGTTCATCAGAGATGTTAGGAGGTCAGGGCGCTGATTTCCTGAGAGAGGTTGCATTTTGGAGCATCAGATCTTCAGTTTTGGGAAGATGATTTTGCGTGACGGGTACAGCACTTCCTAAAAAACTGGCATCACTTTTTTGTGGCAGGCGCAGTGATTAGCAAAACGCATTGGTACGAGGCCGTCAGCTCTGCACTCAACTTGATTAATTCCGCGAAGTACCTTGGGGCATACATATCTGCAAATGGTTCCTCTGATGCTGATTGCAACTACAGATATTCCCAGGCGTCCTGAGCCTTCGGCTCCCTCTTTCCCATCTTTACAAATCCTGCTCTGCCGGTCCGACGGCGCCTTCCAGTCTATTCACAAATTGCTATGGCAATTCTCCTTTATGGCTGTGAGTCACAGGTTTACACTCCTGCTCAAATCACCGGATTCAACGCCCTCCACTACAAAGTTCTCCGACAAATCTTCCAAGTTAAAAGTTCCTTTTACCACAGGGTCTTGCAGCCCTCAGATGCGGAATGTTCAAAGGCTTTTTTTTTTTCAACTTGCCTACGCTCATGCACCTCGTCTCCTGATCCCTAGTCAACGAATCCCAGTTCAACGTCTACGATGCCTAGGCCACATACTCCGCCACTTTGACTCCCTCGAGCATAAAATTTCATTCAATATTTCCCACTCCTTGCGTACAATCTCCTCTCCCTTTCGGATCGGCCGCTCCAGAGTGCATTGGCCGGAAATAGCGATGTCTGAAGCTTATCGTCGCTATCTTCAGCTCCACAATGGACAAAGTGCACCACCCTCTATACGAGATTTCCACAACTGCAACAGTTCAAAGCTACTTTGGCCCTTACTTGACTAATTGGCAAAATACCACTACCATTTGGAACTCATTGTTGCCCGTGGCTTCGAGTCGCTATGATTGAGATCAACTTGTACTCCCCGGAAATGGGAGAGTTCACTCGAACACTGCTGACGTGTAGTCCTCGAGGCCTGTGCTATGGACTGCATTTCGCTTGACAAAAAAAAGGCACAAGGGATTCTGCACCGTCCCAAAAGTGAGCAAAACGGGAAGGTTTTGTAGAAGTTTCAACAGCCACCACCACTACACTACACTCCACTCGAGTCCACTCCACTACACTAAACTACAACTACAAATACATTACACTACACTACACTAGTTACATTACACTACACTACACTGAAGTCCACTACGCAACACTACATTCAATTACACTACACCACACTACACTACACCACACTATACTACACTAAGCTATCTACGTTACACTACACTACACTACACTACACCACACCGCACTACACCACACCACACTACCCTACACTAACTACAGCTACCGCTACAACTGCAACTGCAACTGCAACTACAACTACACTACACTACACTACGTTACACTACACTACACTACACTACACTACGCTACGCGCTACGCTACACTACACCACACTACACCCCACTACGCCACACTACACTACACAACACAACACTACACTGCACTCCACTGCACTGCACTGCACTACACTACCCTACATTACATTACACTACACTCATTACACTACACACATGCAACTGCAACTGCGCTACACTAATGACACTACACTACCACTACAACTACAGATGCACTACACCACACTACATCCAGCAGTTGTGGGTGATGTGACCAGGTGGCCACTACAACCATTGTAACAATTCCAAAAAAACACAATTCCAACCACCTTTCAGTCCATCAGTGGATTCGCTCTGCCATCCGTGATTCACAACAACCAAGCTCTCCTGTAGGTTTCCTATTCTGAAACTTCTGCCACCAGCTTGTGCGGCACTACTGGAATATATTTGATGTGCACACAGACATCACATAGTAATACGTCTATATGGTCTATATGTATATAGTATATATATATAGATATTTGTTTAATATACATACAGTATAAATGTGTGTGTATATACTATATATATTTATCATTCTACTATAAACAATATATACATTTGAAATATCTATATCTATCTATCTATCTATCTATCTATCTATATATATATATATATATATATATTAATAAACAAATAAATAAGTATATATATATATACATATGTAATAAATATATATATATACATACATATATATGTGCATAAACACATACACTATTCATTCCAGGGCACTGCTTTGCTACTTTACACTTGCACCTTGCAGATTTCAGAGGCACTTTGACTGCCCTCGCAACCAGTTCAGGTGTTCACTGACAGACCAATCTAAGTGTATGACAAGATGCATTTTGCTCATTTCTAGCAACGTGACTTGTTAGGAGACTGAGACCGCTTCTGCATCTGAGTGCTCAGGCGCTCACAAAGAGACGTCATTCACACACACAGAGACACATCAGCAACTCTTTAGCATAGTCGGTTTGACGCTAGAAAGAAAACAGTGTTGCAGTTTTCCTTTCCAATTCTGTGGGAAGGTGTACAAGACTCGCGGTGTCTGGATGACTTTGCCACGAAGTTTGACCTGATGACTTGTGAGCCTGAGTGTCTCCGCGGTCAGGAGGGGCCAACGAGCGGTAATTTTTGGGTTTTCTGTGTTGCATTTTTTCAGCTTGTTTGGCTTGGATCATGTCGACCATTGCAGGAAGAGAAAATTGAGTCGGTCAATAACTTGCGACTTTCTATCGTTGGCCTTGACAGCAAACCCCCGCAAGCAGTGTCTGCAGATGTCAATCTACCAGCGCAACAGTGGCTGGGGGATTGCATCTCTTCAGAGAGACAGCATGTGTTGGAGGATCAATCTTGTGGTTTGTGCCAGAAAGCCGAAGTCGCTGAAGCACTCCTGTCTACGGGCGCCGGAAAGTTTGAGACACTTGAGACAGCTGAGCCAAATGCTGCTCTTCCAGCCAAGTTGGCCGAGAGGATGGCAAAACTGGAGACAGCTACTGAACTTCAAGCAAACTTACTGGAGAGGATCACAAAGCTGGAGACAGATGCCGCTCTACCAGAAAAATTGCTCAAGAGGATCGCAAAGCTGGAGACAGATGCTGAACTTCAAGCAGAGTTAGTGTCCGAACTGCAGGCCAAAGCAAGACACGTCGACTCCAAGATTGATTCCACAAAAGAGAATCTTTCGCAAATGGCGGGGAGTCAGTACCTGAAAGATTGCAGAATGTCCCGGAAACAACAGGAATTGGAGAGTATTGCAACTTGCGTGCAGAATAAGCTAAACCACATCACAACTTTGATCTCTGACTTTGAAGCCAGGTTTGAGAAGGTGGACAGTGCGATAGCTTCTCATCAGGATCACCTTGCTACTTTGAGCTCTGACTCTGACAAATGGTTCAAGGAGGTGAAAAGTGTGATGGCTTCTGACAAGAACGAACTTACTACTCTGATCTCTCACTTTGACAAAAGATTAAAGGAGGTGGAGAGTGACATGGAGTCTCACAAGAGCGACCTCGCTACTATAACCTCTGGCACTTGCAAAGGGTTTGACAAGGTGGAACATGTCATTGCCTCGCACAAGAATGAGCTTGTGACCAGGTTGGAGGAGGTGGACGAGAAGGTAGAACGTGTCATTGCCTCGCAAAAGAATGAGCTTGCGACCAGGTTGGAGGAGGTGGAGAATGTGATGGAGTCTCACAAGAATGGCCTTGCTACTCTGACCTCTGAGTCTCACACAGGGTTCGAGAAGGTAGAACGTGTCATTGCCTCGCAAAAGAATGAGCTTGCGACCAGGTTGGAGGAGGTGGAGAATGTGATGGAGTCTCACAAGTTAAGCCTTGCTACTTTGACCTCTGATTCTCATACAGGGTTCGAGAAGGTAGAACGTGTCATTGCCTCGCAAAAGAATGAGCTTGCGACCAGGTTGGAGGAGGTGGAGAATGTGATGGAGTCTCACAAGAATGGCCTTGCTACTCTGACCTCTGAGTCTCATACAGGGTTCCAGAAGGTAGAACGTGTCATTGCCTCGCAAAAGAATGAACTTGCGACCAGGTTGGAGGAGGTGGAGAATGTGATGGAGTCTCACAAGAATGGCCTTGCTACTCTGACCTCTGAGTCTCACACAGGGTTCCAGAAGGTAGAACGTGTCATTGCCTCGAAAAAGAATGAGCTTGCGACCAGGTTGGAGGAGGTGGAGAATGTGATGGAGTCTCACAAGAATGGCCTTGCTACTCTGACCTCTGAGTCTCACACAGGGTTCCAGAAGGTAGAACGTGTCATTGCCTCGCACAAGAATGAGCTTGCGACCAGGTTGGAGGAGGTGGAGAGTGTGGCCGCTTCTCAGAAGAGCGAGCTTGCTTCTCAAAAGAAGTCTTTGTTGGGACTGCAACGTCAAATCAACGATCTCGACCTGAAGATCCCTGAGCCGGATGACTTTCCCCCAAGTCTCGATTCGGCAGCCCACAAGGAGATTCAACAAACACAGCAGCAGCTGAAAGACTTGGAAAGTCAAGTGTCTGCTCTCAGCAAATCTGTGCAGAAAATGTCTGAGAACAGCACTTCTGCTGCAAAGCTGAAGTTGCCATCTGCTTTGGATGCACCGACCTTGCATCCAACAGAGGTAGAATTGCAGCCAGATAGAGCTCCGCCCACAGTTGTGCAAAACGAAGACTTGGACGAATGGAATGATGTTGGCTTGCAACGAGGTGATTTGGAGGCCAAGGGGATGAATGTGGAACAACCTCAATCCAACACAAGAGCCTGCAGCAAACCAGATGATTTGAAGGCCACAGGAAAATCAGCCTTTTGCGGCTTCCAAGTCCCCCCCAAACCGGAGGATGAGGCTATAGCGAAAGTCTGTTTGGAAGTGGAGGAGAAACTACATGCAGCAGTGAGGCAAAACGACCCCTTGGATGCCCGGAAGAGTTTGCTGCGGAAGGTCTTGCTGAGGCTGCAGTTGCCAGAGGAAATTTTGTTTTGGTGATTGACTCTGGGATCTGTCATAGTGTGTCTGTTTTACATATTCTTTCATCAGAAAAGTGTGCATTGCTAGAACACAAAAATTGTTATTGCCTTGAATAATGCTTGTCTTTTTCCAATTCATTTTGAATCCTTTTTTCCTTTCCTTGCAGGCTTCATTCTGACAAGACCGGCGCACCGAGCGCAGGAATGATGCTAGGCTGTTCGAGGTATGAGATTGTGATGTGTTCCGAGCCAGCCGGTAGCCAGCTATTCGCCTCCCCCTGCTGTTCCAATTCTGGCATGGCCTTTCCAGTGAAGCTTTTCGGTATTTTCAATTTCAATCCAAGCAAAAACAGCAGAAACACAAAGGCAACTTTCTAGGCCCAGTGATTCTGTGCAATGGAGGACCAGGTTTTTGGAGTCTTTGAGAGGTGAGCAATAGATGAAGAATAAAGTAGATTTAATAGTAGATGAAGGAAAATTGGGATGGACACACATTGTTGCAATCCTCGCGCACGAGGGATGGT